TCTATACTCGATGTTTTATTGATGTGTTGTTATAATTAGTTATTAACCATAATAAAAAACACGATTTTTGTTATTACGCTCTATTTTTCTAGGACACAACCAACCAACGTTTTAGATATAATGATAATCACAGGGCTAAATTAAGTGTTTTCTTGGAGTGAGATCAATCTATTAATAATTCCATATGAAGGAAAGCTGCGCGTCGAATAAAAAGTTGAGAGCCGAGAATCTTATCTGAAAAGGAGAGAATATCTTCTTGGAACTTTGCCTAATGGAACTGAGCTGAGTTCTCTACTATTCTGGTGTTACAGCCATCGCCAATAAAAAATAGTATCTTTGACAAAAGTAAAATCTCTAATACAAGAATTACAGACAGCTGCATTTCTACTGAAATTTAGCTAACAAATTTTGAGATGATGAACAAGTGATGGCTTGTTAATTCTGATATAATGTCGAGAAACACTAATACTTTGGTAAGCCAGTTACCAACATGATAAGAACCAGGAGATTTTAATAGGTGAAAATTTTGGAAAAGTAAAAAGGATTAAGTTGTTTACCTTGTTTTCACAAAATAGTTATATTGTCAGGAAGGCCTATTGGAATGCAAATCGTTCGGAGTCCATAGTATGCATGCTAATCTCCAAAGTAGGACCGCGGACGTGGTACATTCCGAGTCGTTTCGCCGGCATCGTAACTGAGTATTGCTATACTTAGCACCATAGTACAACTCGTCAAAGAGACAAATGAAGCCGATCCATTGGCAAAATGTGTGCTAAACAGTTGTGGTATCTCTGCTTCTGACCTGGGCCATTCGCCTTTCCTATATCCTCGTATCACTCGTTCACTGTCACAATCTTTTTTTGTTCTTTCCGTGCTTATTTAAATGTAGTGTGGTGTGCCTTTTGGACCACGTCTATGGTGAAACAGGTCTATTTTCAGCCAAATAGCTCCAGTCTATCCTCTTTTTATCCCTAATATCAAGTCCATCACTTCCTATGTCCTACTCTCTTGTGTGCCAACCAACAAATGTTGTGGTTCAACATTGAACCTAAGAAAAGCAGGCAGTGCCACACAAGACGCTGGCG